TCTTCTGTAAGAACATTATCCTTATCAGAGAGACGTTCGATGGTTATTGATGTTTTTTTTTTTTTGTGTTTACGTAATTGTCAGACCGAAAACGAAAAAACGCAGAAGAAATCAAACGTGATAAAGTGTCTGATAATTGAATGAAAAGAGTCGCGCATTTTGAAAAATACAACGTATTGCGACGCGAATTAGCCGCCGCCGGTCGGGGTATTTACATATCTTGAGTGCAATAATTTCTAATTTTAATTGCGAGGCTTGCGAGCGCGAAAGTATGTGAACGCGACGAACGCGCGACTTTGTGGTCTCTCTCCTCCTCTCTTACTCGTCGTTTCCCTATCTCGAAACGTGTGTGTCTCTTGAAACGCCATGCGGCGTCGAGTCGATATATGGGGCTGTGTGTATCGCGCGTATAAGCAAATACTGGCATTATTCATGTATGCGCTCGAAGTGCACTAAATTTAGTCACAGTACGGGAGGTCATGTGGGAGACACGCGCGCGTCTCTCTCTCTCTCTCTCTCTTCCCCTCAGTCCCGGGCACTGCGTTTTATGCCTTTTTCTCGCAGAAACGTGTCATATGTCGCTGATTCCCCCTTTACTCGTAAAAAGTAACGGCGATACCGAGGTAAGCCCCAAACGTCAGCGATTTGTCAATAATTCTTATGCGTTATTCTATAAAAAAAAAAAAAAAAAGAACAAAAACAAAAAATTGACGCGCAATTCTCCAAGGCGATTTCTTAATTCATTCGTCGTTCGATTTATTTTGTCGAATTGTTGTGAAACTTGTTTTTTTTTGTCAATAAACAACACAAAATGAAGAGAAAGAAAAAAAACATAAAATGTATTTTCCCTCTGAGCAAACGCGAGTAAAATACATTTGCTGCGGACTGTGTTTTTAAAACGCTCCGATTTAATGGTGTCTTGTTTCGCGCGAAGTTGGGATTTGGATCGCGCGATGATGAAGCCCAAAAGAGCTCGGCCTCATTCTCCACCCTTCCGTACATCGAAACGCGTTCAAGCCCTCAGCCGCAGGTCCGTTTCACGACGTGCCGCGGGAGAGAGAGAGAGAGCCTCTCCCTTTCAGATTCATAATCAAAACTGCATTAAAATCCTGAAAGCCCTGACGAGGGCGCGACGAAAAGTGTTTTGTCATCTAGGGTGACTCGACAGCCACCTCGATAACAATATGCTCACCTCGTTTTGAATCCTTCCCGTTGCCACGAGGGACACTCTGGATTCGGGATCGATTAGGTGACGATTATTCCATCGACGTTCGTTCCCTGAATACTTTAGAGTCTCACGAGACAAAAAAAATTACACATTTATAATTTGATATTTGATTTTGCTTTCGCGCGTGTGTTTACGAGAAAATACTTGTAAATAATTTTCGAATTTTAATCGCGTTAGTTTTGCGCGTTAGTGTTTATTTTACCTCGTCAGTGATTCAAAAGCGACCCGAATATTAAATATCAGGCTGTTCTTGAAACGACGATGTATAAAAACGCCAATATCGCGGTTCAAACACATTTATGATCTTTGAAGTGAAATTATTATCGTTTTTCAGAATTAAACAAGATTCGCCGAGAGAAAGAGAAAGAGAGGGAGAGAGAGAGAAAGCGAAGTTACGTAACAATTGCTGACGTAGAGGTTTTATATTACGCAAAGTTTCTCTGTTCGACGATTGTAAAAGAGAGGCGTGAGTGAGACGCGCGTTACGTCGACCGTAAAATTTTCCTCGTGAAACGCGCGCGCGACGTGCTTAAGTTTTCCGAGAGGCGAAGATATTTTCGTTGATTTTCGCCAGAGCGGCCTGAACTCACTTCGGAAGAGAGAGTTTTGGGCAGTCGCCCACCGTTTTCGTCCCTCTCTGCCCGCGTTCCCCTTTTGTCTTCTCTCTCTCTTTCTCTCTCTCTCTCTCTCTCTCTTTCTCGTTTCGGTTTGAGGGAGAGGGGAGGGTGACGCGCCATTGTTCGGGCGATATTTCAGCGGCGGCGGTGGCTGCTAGAGTGGAAGGGCGGGGGTGCTTTGGCGGTAGTCAGCTGGCTGTGACACGCTGCCTACCTCGCCAAAGAGAGGAACCAGAGGCGCTTAGGAGTATCCGGGGGCTAAAGAGAAGCCCTCGGCTTCGTGCTCGCGCGGCGATACTCTTTCATCTAACGATAGTCGAGGCCTTGACTTTGAAGTGAGCCACGTACCTATCGTTGCATTATACCGCAAAGCTTTGCCGCGTTTTGCATATTATTACTGTATTCGATGTCTCGACGATTGTAACTTTGACGCTCTTTTATGCAGAGACTCCCGTCCCCGAACAGATACATTTGGCTTTACCGTGTTTTTTCTCTCTTATTAAAAATATTATTGAGAGAGAGAGAGAACAGATTAAAAATTACAATATTGGTATTAATATTATCCCAACGTATATATAATCGGTACGTAATCACTTGTCGTTCCGGACGAAGCATTTAATTATCCGATCTGCGGTTATTATCAAAATTCATGGCCACGTCCACGCCTCCGTGCGCATGTACGCTAATCGCTTGTGAAGTCATCCTTTGCCACTCAGTCAGTCGGACGAAGCTCCTTTAACTTCACTGCAAATCCAAGTGTGTTAATTTAACACACTTGACGTGTGTTTTTATTGAAGTCATTTTTAATACGTTTCTTAGTGTTTAAAATTGGAACACGCTTAATACGTGTTGATTTAACTCACTAAATTAACACGTTTTAAATGTATAATTTGTTGTGTGTAATAAACGACATATTATCGTATAAAAGTTTGGAAGCTCTACGTTTTCATAGGAGAACAGAATAATAATATTTATGTTTCAAAAAAGCTGCAATGTGAAAAACTTAGATAACTATGGTATAATAAAGTTTGTCATAGTGCAGTATTCTTTAAAAATATTAAAACATTATTATTTTGTTCTCCTAAGAAAACGTCGAGCTTCCAAACTTTTATCACCTGGTTCAGTATGTAATATTTTGACGTTCATGTTATACGTGTCATTGATTTGTCTCTCTTGAGAAACATCAGAAATAAAACCAGTAGATGGTGATGATTCGAGTACGAGGCTTGATGGTTTTTCATCATAGACGTACAATATATAGACTGCGCGTTTGGCTGAAAAGATGTCTTCAACGTTGAGAGAGACAACATACTTTGAATAGTAACTCTTTCTCTATCATTTACCCTACTACTTCGCTAGACAAAGATGAGGCTACTATTCAACACCAGCTGTCTCTCTCTCAACGTTGAAGACATTTTCTTAACATGGCAAAGGTAGGGAACGCGCAGTCTATATATTATACGTCTATGTTTTTCATACAAAAAAAGTACGTTAACCTCACTTTTGTCTTCAATTTCATCATCTTCTTCAATATCACATAATTTATTATTTCGATCGGCATCAAACTTTTGTAAAATGATTTCTTTGTTGTTGATCATTGATTGTAACACTACATCGTTATTGCTGGCTTCTATTAAAGTTGCACGTACAATTTGANGGTCAGAGATATATTTTTTAGATGAAAACGTAATGCGTTTACAACGTTCACCGATTAAACAGTACACTTTCTTCTTCATATTAAATAAAAAATATATTAAATTTTCACAAATCACATTAAACATATATTGCACGTCAGCACACTTCTTTCCGCCGCGCTGTACTTGTCCTAACATATCTCTGTACTCTGGAAGGAGCGAGAAAGAAAGATTGATGCGCGCGCAACTTTCTACGCAGAGACAACGACAATTTTGATGTGTATTTTGTGAAGTGTTTTAATTTTGAAACGTTTATCTGTTCAAACGTGTAAAACGAGAAATATGTATTATTTTAACATGTCTAAAACTTGTGTTTAAAACTATGTTTTATTTTATTACACATTTTAGATGTTTACGCATTTTAACACACATGTGATCTGCATAAAATTATCATATTACACATTTATGTGTGTTTAAATAACACGGATAAGCGTGTAATCTTAAAATTACACAGAAAAAATGTGTTAAAGTAACACACATGGATTTGCAGTGTTACGGCGACTTGCCGAACGACTTTGCGGCACCGTCTGCGGCCTCGACTGCGACAATGGCCACGTGCATCCGGCGACGAGAGCAAGACGCCCGATGAGAGTTTAATAATTATTATTCATAAGACTCTCTTGGGAGTCGGCCAGGCGTGAGACTAAGCAAGAAAGATGTGCTGCAAAACAAGAGGGGGTGCCCCATCGCTTTCTCGGAGCTTGCTTACGTCCTCCTTAACTCCTCTCCCTCTCCCCTTGGTGGGTGAGCCCCGAGTATTCCGCGGGCAAGCGGGAGGGGTGTGCTCGAGTCAGTCGAGCAGAAACCCAATCACTTCCGGCGTCTGCGCCCATTAGGGCGCCGCGACGCTGACGTCGGCTGACGTACGCCCTTCCACTCGCTCGTTCTCCTACGGCTCCCGTTTTCTCTCTCGCTCTTTCCATCGGCGTTCCTCCGTTTCTATCGCACACTATATTGAACCCACCACCCTCTTGGACCTCGACCAACATCGAAACAGACCGCAGATCTATTGTTTGGAAAGCGCTCGCATGGAAGCTTCTTCAACGCGGCTAATGACATATCGAGGATGCCGCTTTCTTTTTACCGAATTTTTCCGGTTTTGCTTGCTCATCTCCCGCGCCACTTACCCCCACGCTTTTTCCTCATTGTTACGACGAATCGTGTCGAGTTCTTTGTACAAGTTTTTTTTTTTTTGACAAAGACGTGGGTGAAATACGAAAATTGTCATTTGCAAACTGCAGCAGCACATCCGATTTGAAAAAAAAAAAAAAAAAAAAACAATCAAACGCGTTTCTATACTCAGTGTATTTAGTTAGAAAAATATAGTTTTTTTTTACAAGAAAATATGGAGAACAATTAACTTAATCTTACGACGTTAATGTTCTATTTTGTGTGTTAAATATATCAATTAACATGTATCGATTATTTTATTAATATTATATTTTGCATTTGTGTGTTTCAGGTTTATCAATGCGAGACGTAGAATTGTTCAACCAATGATCGACCAGAGTAATCGAGCCGGTAATGTTACTTCAGTTCAAAGCTAACATACACATATGAGACACACATACAATACAATCCACATACAATACAGATTCACAAAACACACTACAAGGTCATTATAAGACAAAAGTTTTTCAATTATTTTCTTAATTACTCTAATTATTAATTACTTTTTTTTTCATCTTGTGATGGTTGAAAATTGTTATTAATTTATTTGTTTTTTTATGTTTTTATACGTTTTTAATTTCTATTTTTACGTATACATTTCTATTTTTTTACGCATATATATATATGTGTATAAATCTTCACTAAAATCACGTAATATAATAAGTTTTTTACATCAAGACAGATCAAAGATTTTTTTATGACACTTTGATAACTACACGTTTCTATTTATATCTACATAACAGAAAAAGCTAGCATGTGGAAATTCAATTAACAGTTGACGTGTTTCTTCGCGCGAATTTCGGACATTCTTAATAGCATTTCTTCAATAAAGCGAAACATTTCAATCGAATCAAACCTGTGGCGCTGTGTGTATATTTGTTAAATCCGCAACATCCGTCGTTTCGAATCAGATCGTTTCTCGTAATTCGATTATCGGTTATCTCGTGCTGAAAATTTCACTTCCCTCTTGCGTATCTGATTAATATCCGACGATCATTTTGTTTCGCGAGAATTAGAAACTATTATTACGATATGCCAATTTATATGCGCAAACAATCAGACAAAACTCGGTACAACTACTGTCAATTTTCCAGAAAATGTTTTTAGCGTATCTCGCGTACGAGGAAACGAAATTTGATGAAGTTTTGATCGCGTTGTCTCTTTTTTTTTTTTTTTTTTTTTTTTTTTATTTTGCCAGACATATTCCTTCGTTGGTATAATCTGTGAAGACGACGCGTTTACGAGGAGAGAATCACTTCGTTTGCAGTAAAAGGCGACAACAACGGGTCTTCGTGTTTAGGGTGGAACCATTTTCTCTTTCTCTCGGGTAGGGTTCAAGGGCTCGGTAGTGATTCGGATGATGGCGAGAGAGGGTTCTTCTGTGTGGAGCACGAGGTGGGCGGAGGTGGATAACGTCCCGGATAACGTTCGGATAACACTCGGATAACGGCGGGATAATTGGTAGCGGTGATCAGGACCGAGTTTTACGATCGGGGAACACGCTCCGTCGCGGTAGAAAACTTCTGCTCACCCAACGGATTGCCGTGCCCTCCCACGGACCGACTTTTTCTCGCGTTTCTGTTGGTCGCTCGCGCGCGCACACACGTCTTTGTCCAGAACGACGTCGCGAGAAAGGTCCGTGGAAAAGTTCGACTGTAGGTCGAGAGACTAAACGGTCGAAACACAGAGAGAGATAGAGAGAGAGAGAACGAGAAACGTGGCCGATTCGCCTCGTATTTTTACGACTGGCCCCCTCATAAACACTCACTGAGTTACGGGTTGTTTGCTCTGCCGAAACTGGGCTTTAGGGGCGCTTTATCCGCCATCCACCATCCGAACGTATCCCACGAAACGCGCTCCCGGGGATAGTGAAGAATCGCTCTCTCTTTTTTTTTTCGCGCTTTTCTCTCTCCCTCCCTCTCGAGTTGACGCGCGGCGCTTCTGCGAATGATGGCCCGCAGTCCGCTCTCGTACTACTTTTATACGCGAATAGAAGACGTATCGTGCACCAAAGTGCACTAAACGTTCGAGTGCCTTTGTGAGAATGTTCCCTGCGAGCGCCATAAACGTCTCCGCGTGCTCTCAGATTTTTATTCAATCTCGCGCGCGCGCGCGCGTGTTACGGATGTTCGAAGACCAGTATTCACGTGCCGCAACCCAAGAACGTGAATTTTCTCTCCCGGTCAAATTCCACCAAGTTTGCCCCGATAACCTTTTCCGTTGTATCTACGGCAAATAATAAATTGACGTTCACCCACGCCACCGTGCGTGCAGCTTTCTTTGCACTGAGTCAGCGACATCGATAATCGCGGCGCATGTACGAGCCGCCAGCAAACTCGAGCGGTGGCTAAAGGGATATTCGCGAGGGTGGGCGGTACGGGGGTGACTATCGAGGGACGATGTGAGAGAGAGAGAGAGAGAGATCGGCGACCCGAACGTCGCCGTTCGCATCGGGTAAAGTGGAAACTCGTGTACGCCAGATTATCATCCCGAGTCAATCCTGATCACAGCTCCATCGCGCCGCAAACAGGCGACCCACGACCTTTCCAGCCCTTTCCGTCCGCCGTCGATGCCACCGCCTCCGTTTTCTCCGCCTGCCTCCTCGACCAGGAAAACCAGTTTCGTACCTCGAAGAGGACACACCTTTTGCGCGCGATTGAAATCGATGGCGTGTTATACTCGCCCCGCGTCCCGCTCGATTATCGCGGCCCGGAGAATGACACGCGGATATTTTCGTGAGCAGAAGTGCGCAGAAAAAAGAGCCAGATAGATAGATAGATAGATAGAGAGAGCCGTAGGTGAAGGTCCATCGAGTTCGTACATCTCGCGACTCCCGACCATTTTTCCAAGTCCTCGGAGACTTCGGAGTTTGTTCCCTTCCTTTCCTGCTCGCCATCGACGATCAGCAGTCCATTAAAGCTTAATAGCCGAAGCATTAGGCCCCAGGGCAGATTTTGTTCCAACGGAAGCGAGATAAATGTATCTTTCAAACGTTTCTGATCCCTCGTGCGCGCTAAAATTGTCTCCCACTTCGAACGATCGCGTTTTGACATCGATGATTAAACCACTCGGTATCTTTTACTTTTAGTTTTGTCGATCGTGACAAAACAAAAAAAAAAAAAAAAAACAATTGTATTACACATTTTGAAGGAGCGAGATATTAATTATTATTGTCACAAAGTAAAAGAAACGCTGGATTATTAGCTTTTCTGTTCGTCAAATTTCTTGTTTTTTTTTGTTTTTTTTTCGTGAGAACTCGCCTTTTAATTAACACGCAGAAATCCCGCGAGTTCGACGAGTTCTGTACTGTCCGCACGTATGCTCAAATAGCGCCGCGACTTTTCTCACGCGAGTCCCGCGAGAGAAATTGTATTAGGACGCGCGAGTTCACGTTAATTCAGAATATCGTCTTGAGACGACGATGGCGACTATGACGACGACGACGACGACGACGACGACGACGACTGGGAAGGTACACGAGCTGGGACTCGCAGGCATGCATATCTTTCTTCTCGGTGCGCTCCTCCTCGTGTCGAGCTAATGATGCGCGTCGGTCGGATCATCAATCATACTTTCATTACGCGGATCGCAGCTGCTCCACATTGACTTCGCGGCCCGCGGGGCATTGTTATTATTACAGAACGAGAGAAAGAGAGATGCGCATCGCAAGCGCACGCGTTACACAATGCGGACGCGCGCGCGCGCGCGCGAGAGAGAATTCTTGCTTATCGTCGATAACGACTGCAGGCGGGAGCCGCCATCGCGTGTATCGGGTGGGTTTATGATTCACCTCGCTCTCGCTAACGATTGTAGATCCGTATCTGAGCGTTCGCGGAGAATGCAGCCGCGCGGAGGATTCCCTTATGCGCATACGCGCGCGCGCGTACACGTGGGCGGTTTGGTATTTCAATTCAGTGCCGCGATGGTGTCCCGCATTTCGCAAACACGTAAAACGCGACGATGACGACTCCTCTCCCTCCCTCCCTTGCGCGCGCGAGTATATTGGTATTTTTATTTTAATAGGGAATACATATATTACGCAACACCGTCACACACGGTGAATCGCGAGGTCGCGATAAGTTACGTCGCGTCGAAATTGCAATTTTTTTTCGATCAAACCTCTTACGCCTCGCACAGAGAGGTTCTTGTTTCAGCGAACGAAGCGGCGATTATCTCTTATCCGGCGTTAACGCGAAACGGTTTGCTGAAATTAGTGTAAAATTAACGCAGCGTAGTATGCGAGAGCAGTAAAACCTTGACGCGCGTTTTAACGCTGTTGTTCCTAATACCGCTCATAAAAGCGCGATCCCTTTTAAATCCTCCGTTTCCCCATTCAATCATACACGCGGGGAGACCTCTCGCGCAGAAGCCACACACACTCGAAACTATAAACTATAAACTCGCAACGCGCGCATCGTTTTACGACGTACAAGCTGCCACGTCGTGTCCTCCCTCGTGAGATTCTATTAGGTTTATATCGCGCGGAAAGAGAGAGCGAGAGAGAGAGAGAAGAGAGAGAGAGAGAGAAGAGAGAGAGAGAGAGAGCTGCCACGCGCTTTTGCGTCCTGGATAAATAATAGGAAGGATACCGCGCGCGCTGCACGGGTGTAATACACTCCTGAGAGAGCGCGGACAGGATACGGCACAGCGCGCGCAACGTATTATCGCACTGACATCTCTCGCGCAATGGAAATAATGATAATTTAATTGAACAAGTCCGTGTGCAAAACTTGCTTGATGTGTACGTTGCGTCATGCCGAGATCACGTCAGGCGATAGCGCGTATCTTCGTTTCCGGCTTGCTAATGATGAATACGCACGTTTAATTAATTATATTGAAGCGATGTTATTGTGAAGCGAGCGCGACGTGCGAATTTAACTAAATACGGTTTTAACGCAATAAATAAAGATTACGAGCATTTCTCTCCCTTTCTCTTTCTCTCTCTTTCTCTCTCTCTCTCAGCTGTGTGTTAATTGCGGAATGCAATTACACGACGCTTTTACGAAGGAAAAAACAAGCGTGGCCGTTAAAATAACTGCGCGTAAGAAGCAGTTTGTTGGTTTTTTTTTTTTTTTTTTTTTTTTTTCAATTCGACTAGTGTATAAATCAGAAAAATAATCCGCGAAGAAATGTCAACTTTCTCTCGCTACATTGATTTCCGGTTCTGTCTTCTCGAGTTCAATAGCTATAATTCGCAGACGTTTACCGATACCTGTAAGAAAAAAATTCGTCGAACGATTTCCTTCTGGCGGAGAGGCTGCGGGGGTATTACAACACGACGCTGTCAAGATACGCTGTATATAGTTACAGCGCCGGTAACACCGGTGGAAACGTCGTCCCCTCACGTGCTA